GAGAGAGAGAGAGAGAGAGAGAGAGAGAGAGAGAGAGAGAGAGAGAGAGAGAGAGAGAGAGAAGGAGAAGAGAGAGAGAGAGAGAGAGAGAGAGAGAGAGAGAGAGAGAGAGAGAGAGAGAGAGAGAGAGACGGTGGAGGATGGTGGTCTCCGTACTGATCCAGAAAGAAGAAGAATCAAGAGGAACTTGGCGATTCTAGTGGTGCTCTTAGATTTTTTTGAAGCCGCAGCATGGTCGATGTATAAAATGGGGACTATATGGAGGTTGTTGTGTTGTCATGATGGAATGTGTTGGTGGTGTTATTTTCGTATTTTTGTTTGGAGAGGTGATGGCATCAGGTGGCTGCGAAAGGTCAGTTGAAGAGCGAGGTGCCCAAGGTGCCGGGCTTGGGCTTGCGGCCATTATCGCTGTATCTAGAAAATTGCCCCAAATGCAGCTATGATGACCGGGCGTTTTGTTCGGGTGAAAACTGTAAGCCAGGGACACTGGTCAATCAGGTCAGATCCGGGCCAACTGCCTCACATGATCGGATGGACCATCGCATAAGCGTAACCACAATCCTCTCTCTCTCTCTCTCTCTCTCTCTCTCTCTCTCTCTCTCTCTCTCTCTCTCTCTCTCTCTCTCTCGGTCGGATGGATTGGGCCAGTTGACTTACACGTGTCATGAGGAGGCCTAGGCCAGGGACCAAGTGCATTCCTGTTAGGAGAAAGGGATCCGGACGTCCGTAACCTATGCCTGAGGTCAATTGGGATTGCTCCCCTCATCTTGAGCTGGGCGCGGAGGGTGGGTGATGGATGACTACCCTCATCTGAGATCCGGAAGTAAGCGAGGTGGTGGTTCTTTTAGAATAGGTTTTATGGGTTCGCTTAGAACAGTTTTGATTTCCCTATATGTCCGCATATTTTTAGTATTATCTGCATGAAACGAGAGCCTTTGGGGTACCTTGGAGCCAAGGAAAAACAGGCCAATTAATGCACAGGAAGTTAGCGACAGAAAAAGAAAGGGTGGGTGGTGAATGGGGGGAGGGTGTTGGGGGGGGAGTTGGGGGGGGGGCGGGGGCAGAAGCAAGGGGCCTTTTGATTGTGGTTGGGATTTCGAAAGGACGTGGAATGGAAGCTCTGGTTGGATATTTCTGTAAACACATGCACATAACTTATACTGTCTAATCTGTTGTGCTTTTCTTCCCTTCAACTGCATTCCTCTTTTTCCAGCCTTCTCGTTCTCTCTCTCTCTCTCTC